GAACTTTTTTTTTCTGAGGTCTGCCAATTTACGATTTGTGACTTTTTTAATTTTTTTTGGTTTAACTAGAAGATATATGTTTTATGAATACGTACAAACTAATTTTTTTGAATTCAGATCACCGTACGAAAAGTGAGAACGCCCGCAGATTGATGGCGTTTTCCGAGAGGGTCTTGGCAGATCTATTTTTACGGCAGCCATTTAAAAAAAAAAAAATAAAAAAAAAATGTTTTTGTGTATTTTAATATATAATAAATAACCATAAAAAAATTCAAAAAGATTCAGTTATTCCTTCCCAGTTTAAAAAGTCCTCAAAAAATGGTAAAAATTAAGGCGATTACATGTATCGCCCCCCTTAAGGGGTAACATTATGTAAAAGAAGAAAAAAACTTTTTTGAGCATTATACGCTAGATTTTTTTTAGTTTTCTCGCTTCTTTTCTTTTTCTATAAACAATTGACGCCTCGCTTTTTTTATTTGTTTTCTTCATTGTCTATATACATAAAAAATAAAATCAATTGAGCTTCTGAGCTTTTCTTACGAAGTCCATTCGAATATGTTGTAATTGCGTTCTTAATTTTTCGTACATTTCCTATTGACAAAAATAAATGCACAACATTTTAAGGTTTGAAGACTATCAACCTCTTAAATAGTTGCATCTTTTACTAATCATTTCTATAACCTTTTTTTTTAATATAGAAATCAGAATTATTGGTATTCTTTAAATTGTTAATGATACTATTATTTTACTAATGATCTAACGTTACCTTTCTAGTTCCACCTAGCTTTAAATCTATATATTTGTAATATTTCTGTTTTCATTAGATTTTTTTCTAATATATATAATCAATTGAACTTTTAACCATTTTTTATAAAATTGAGAGTATGCCTATTCGAAAATGTTGTCCAGTAACTGTTTTTGTCTCAGTTGCAGCCTTTAGTTTTTTCTGTTTGAAATAAATAATTTCGAATTTACACGATCCAGAAAATAGATGACGTAATCGATTAAAAATAATTGGAATATATTCCTCATAATATATTTGAAATATGTTTTTTGTCTATATCTTTACAAAGTGTTTTGAAATCCCTGACTAGCAAAATTTTCTAGTCAGACAAGACTTTTTTACATATTGTTATATTTATTATAACATGAATATAATAAAAATTTTAAGAATTTTGAGTTTAAGCAAAATTACGTCTTAGCAATAGTATTTGTTATTAGTGGCTTCAAATAAATAAATACTATTTCATTTATTTGACATTTGATCCATAAGTTTGCTAGTAGCTCAAATAATATAAATTCATCAAGTATTTTAGTTTCTAACATTAAATGCCCAAAATGTTGTTCTGTAAAAACTCTATATATCTATCAGATGAGTATACAACTTTATATTTTTTTTTAATTATATTTCATTTTTATATTGTATGTATTATTATCTATTAATTTAAGTTATGTACCATATAATATCTATAATTGTACAATTGTGTTGTTTAAATATAAATATAAATATAAATATATAAAAAGCATCGTACTTCTTGTTTTGTATACAAAAGAGATAAAAAAGTTGTCAATGAAATGAGTAGAGATAAACACATGTTATTTTTAATAAATATATTCTATGCACTATTAATAGGTTCTGTTCAGACATTGTTGTCAGACATCTTCAAAAAAATTGTATCTGCTGCCAAACAATATGCCTATTATTTTTTAAGTTTTTGTTTTAATTGTAGAAATCTGAATTTTGGCATTCTATAACTTGTTGCATTGATACTATTATTTTACTGATGACCTATTAGATGGATACCATATAGTTCCAATTGGAAAGCCTTCTAGTTCCTATCGAGCAAAATGGTTTTTTATTAGAATCCTTTTCTAAACTTATATAACTTATATTAAAGTTATGCTTGAAAAAAATATTTTCACTTAAAAATATATTTTCATCTAAAATTACAACAATTTTGGAAAAAAATATTACATCAAGCCTCTTACTAAAATGCACATGTGTGGATTAACACTACTCCACGAATATATGTACGCGTTAAAGTGAAAGTCATGCGTTCGGATTCGTTAAATAATTTTGCCGGTTTTGGATTGACATTGATTATAAATGTATTTGTGCTAATTTTTATGGTTTATTATTTCTTATTATGAAATTACTTTGTAAACAAACCATGTTTGTTAAAAGAAATGCAGCCGGTTTTTCTATAATAATAATTTTTATTTAATAAAAACAAAGGACACAAATGAATAACAAAACTGTTAATGCCAAAAGAAATATTATATTTAGAATTTTGAACTAAACTCTCAAGTTTGTTAATTAATAAGCTAGGTACAGATAATGATCATTAAAAACATATATATATATTCACCGAAATGTTTCTCTACACATTTTGTAGGTGACTTTGAGTTTTACACAAATTTGAATTAACTAGTAAATCCAGCTTGTAACCTTCTTTTATTCTGCATTAAGATTCGGTTAATCGTTAACCTTCATAGTTATTAACAATAGAAACTTTTATTTGATATATTGATTGTTAAACAATTTTAAACAAATAATATTTACATATTTTCTAATTGATAAACGTTGATATATTGATATGTGCTATACATTTAAACACTTTGATATACTTTAATGTCGATTGTACATTTCTTTGCAAAAAAGATCTGATTTTTTTATTATTGACTTTTTTCATTTTAAAATAATGATACTATGAGCATATAGTGAAGTAAGTCTCAAAAAAAGCCTATGGTAGATCTATTACTGACCTATCATCCTATGGCAGATCTGACCAGAAAAACCAGATAATTTTTTTTTTTTATTAACTCTTTTTATTTACAACTGTCCAGTATAGGACATTCAGTAAATTTAATAGATTTACAATAGTCCGCCGAAAAGGTACATTGTATACTACTTTGACTTGTTGGAAAAAACAACTCAGTAGTTGTTTTTTCGATATAAAATTTACAATATTTACTTATTAAATAATTTCTTATAAATAATGATTAAGTTATTTCCATTTTTTTCTCAGGAGAGTTGATTGCTTAAATCCAGTGGCGCTTTTCTTTTCAACCTTCTACGATAGTTCTCTGTTATCAATGAGTTTGCTAATGTATTTGGGTGATTGATTAGCTTGTTTCTATACTTTTGTGCTGTTTTTGTTATTACTTCATTTATGGTAGGTGTATTCGTGTCAGCATGAATTAACCAGTTGGGAACATATTTTGGAGCTCCTAAGGCAATTTTCAGAAATTTGTTTTGAAATTTCTGTATAATTTCTATATTGGTCTTATGAGCACTGCCCCACAATTGTATACCATAACACCAAATTGGTTTGAATAAAGTTTTATATAAAAGTAGCTTATTGTATGCGCTTAGTTTGGATTTAGTTCCTAGTAACCAGTGAAGCTTTTTGGTTTTTATCTCAAGCTGTTGTCTCTTTTTTTTATATGAGTTCGCCAATTAAGTTTTCTATCGAGGTATATGCCGAGATATTTCACATGGTCTTCTTGAGGTACTTGAGTATTTCCTATTCTTACTGGTGGGCAAGTCTCTCTTCTAAGTGTAAATGTGACATGTACTGACTTTAAGCCATTCATTTCAAATCTCCAGGTTTTGTTCCATTTTTCTAATAAATTTAAATGGTTTTGGAGTAACTCAGATGCAGAACTGGAATCTATGTGGCTGGCTAGAATGCACGTATCATCAGCAAACGTAGCGATCAAAGTGTTAGTTGTTATTGGTATGTCAGATGTGTATATTAAAAATAGAATTGGCCCCAAGACGCTTCCTCGTGGAACACCTGAGGAAACTGTCTGGTTTGATGATTCAGTTTCTAAAATATTTACATAAAAACTCCCATTTGACAGATATGATCTTATTATTAAATATAGAGAGTACGTCAAATTCATTTTTAATTTATAGAATAGTCCAGTATGCCATACCTTATCAAATGCTTGTTGTATATCTAAGAATGCTGCTGAACAGTACTTTTTTTCTTCTAGAGATTTATTTATATAATGGACAATTCTATGAGTCTGCTCTATGGTCGAATGCAATTTTCTAAATCCAAATTGGTATTGGGGTATAATGCTTTTGCTTTCTAATTCGCTTAAAATTTTTTTAAGCAAAAGTTTCTCATAAATCTTTGAAAGAATAGAAAGTAAGCTTATGGGTCTGTATGATTTCAGCATACATGGATCTTTCCCTTCTTTTTACCAGATAAATGACAAGTTTTTATATTTGTATTTTCATATACGTATTTATGTTAAACTATTTTAAATTATGGGGCAATAAGTACTAAAAATGGTAACGGAGCGTCCAATTTCAATAATTCAAAAAATGTTTTACTTGTGTTGCAATTTAAAAAAAAAAGATTTTTTTTTTTAAAAAATATTTTTGGTACGGAAAGTTTCAGCAATTTGTCTTCAGGCATGATGCCATGCACCACCCGTTCCTACTTAAACTGACAAATACTGTATTAGTGTTATTGTGTACTATTATCATTACCATTAATTGATTATTAACATACCAAAGTACATTCCACTGAAGATGACAATAGATAATATGTCTAACATATATTATGTAATATGCTTGAAAATAATAAAATTTTTATCCATTTCTACAATTTTTCTTTGTTGTATTGCTCTGAAGATTTTAACTTACAATTAATATAATTTAATGCTTACTGGCTTGATTAATGTATGTTTGTTCCTCTCATTAAAGACTTTAATGGTATTATTGTATTCATAGCCATTAATACAATAATTTATTACGTAATTGCCATGATAAAAATATAAATTCATTATTTTCGTTTATATACATAAAATCTATCATGAGCTAATTAAAATAATATAATTCGAACGCCTGAATATTTTAATAATATAATCAAACTATGATTAATATTAGCTAACAACTAATTTTCAATATATTTTTGTTATTTTTATGTCTGTATTGTTTATTATTAATTATATAACATTACTTAAATTAAGTTGTGACTAACCTGCGATACCACGAATTCTTCAGGGGCATCATGCTCGAATTTAAAATTGTTTACTTGAAATTCTTGCTTAAACCAGTTACCCATAGTGAAAATATACTAAGTCTGAAAAAAAAAAATTTAAATATTTATGGCTATTTTAATGATTTCTGGAATTAATATACATTAAAGTGCGTACAATTTTCTTGTTTTTTCTTCAATTATTGTGAAAATTGTACGACTATTAATGAATTTATTCGAATAATGCTAAGTTAATTCGAACATTTGAAAATAGTATTCTAATCAGTTATTTCACTATAAAATATTGCCAGAGATTTTGTTAGCAGTTTAAAATTCTCTAATAAATTGTATTTGTTAAATATTAGCTTCCTTAACTTGCCTGCATTTTAGTAATAGGCATCTGAATGGAACTCTGAAGTGTTGAAATTGATTATAATTTTTGTGCTTTCTCTTACATGTTGCAATTTTTTAATTTAAAAAAATAATAAAGTTATAATTATACGTAATGAAATATATTAAAAACTATTGGAGTAAAATAACTTCTTAGGGTTATAATTGAGACAAATTGAATGAATGGCAATGAAGAAAACTGCGTTTGATAATGAATTAAACAATAATTTTATAAATCACCGCTTAAAAATTGACAACATTTTATATCAAGTGCTTGTAATACATAATATAAATTACTAATTGAAATGATACAATAATATATTAACAGCATGTATGATTACATGTAAATAAATTAAGTATCATCAATGGAATTTATTCCAAAGATGTTTATAGATAATAATTAATATTACACATAATGGCCAGATAATTATTATTAGAACAAAATATGTTGAGTTTTCTAAATATGTTTATACATACGGATAAATAGATATTTGGCTAAATGATATTTTCAATTTAAAATATATAAAAAACTATCATATTATCGAAAAAAATATTAATAAATAAAATGATAAAATTCTTTATTTATATTTTTTTGAAATATTCATGGTAGTCCACAAGTCCAGGTAATTTTCTAAGCTCTTACTACTAATATCTTTAGCAATATTTTCATACACAATTTGTGTTCTGAACATTTTATGCTCTGAAAAAATTTCTATATATTATATGCTTACAATATATATTTTTAAATATTAAAATATGTTTATTTTAATCAAGAATCAAGTAGTCAATTGTACTTAATGTTTCAAAATATTGACAAATATTTCAAATAAACACACCTATAGAACTTAATACAAAAAAACTTTTTGCATAATAGATTATAAATATAATGTCGAAATACATACTCATTATGATCATTGTTCGTATAAAAAGTATGTCATAAATGATGAAAAAGAAATGTTATATAATAAAAGAATTATATGCAAATTGAGCGTGGTATTGAGATATGAGAAAGATTTACTCTTGCGAATATAAGAGCTCAATTACCTTGTTGGAAATGATGATGTGCAACATAAAAACTATTACAGAAATATGCAGATTATACACGCAATCGATTTTGTATGAGAATTTGTTTTTTGGATGCTGATTTTTAAAGGAAATACTTGAAGAGTATACAGTAATCATTTCTTTTTTCTTTTTCATACGTCTTTTTATTATTTTTTTCTTTTCATGAATAATTAACTAATTTATATACCAATATATTATATTAGTGTGATCTCTATATTCAACTATTCTAAATCCAACTAATTCTTTCATTTTTTTTTACATTCTTCTAATATGCAACTATTCTGAAAATAGATAAAAAATAAAAAGAGTATAAAATCTATTGCATACATAGCAATTTTTTTTGACTTTTCAAGGATTTCTTTCTTAGAAAGCTTGTTTTGTCTGCATATTTGTTCAACTGTTTATTATCATTTCGCGATCATAATTAAAAGTCTAGAAAATGGGTTCTGTAGAAACAATTAAATTGTAAAAAAATTAATTAAACGGATCTTTAAAAATATTGTTTTTAAATCAATTTATTAATTTTTTTTTCACAATTATATAAATAAATAATTGAGTTTATACCATATAAAAATTTATTTTCAATTAATTTATTATATATAATATGCGTTCTCAAAGACCTGACATCGTGCAGTAGCGATGTCCATTTTCACTTGAAAATTCAGATCGAACATATGTTTCCAATGAAAAATAGCCCATTTTGCGCACTGCGGTGTGAAATGGCAATGGGAAATCACACAAACTATTCTTCCATGAATTGAGTTGGAGTTCAGGTATCTGCCCTGTGCAATACTATTTATTCTATAATAAATTTCTTTCCGAAGGAGAAGTTTGTTTTAGCGAGAAAATTCCGATTTTATATTTTTCAAGTCGTTTTGACTCGAATTAAACCAAACTTGGAAAATGCATGCGTATAATGTGTTTTCTCAAAAACGGCTGAATTGATTTCAAAAATTTTAAAGCAATTAGATTTAACTAATAAAGACTAGCAATGATTAATTAAGTTATAGTAATCAGCAAAAAGGTGTGAAAATTTTTGCCAACGTTTCATCCTACAATCCTGAATCAACTTTGTAAACTAAAAAACCATTCGAAAGATATTAATTGATAATGATAATCATGCTGATTTGTTTTTGTTACAAGCAATTTTCCTTGTAATAAAATGCTGAAAATGTCTTTTTCGACAATTTTTATTAAACTTTTTTTGACGATGGATATCATGGTCTTATAGAACATACTAAAGTATTACGGCCTCACTGCAAGTCGTTTAATTTTTAAAATTTGTAAAGGTTTGAGAAAATGTGCAGTGTTTTTTTTGACGTCAGACCTTTCTCAAAATATGCTTAACAGATTTCAATTAGATAATAAAGCCATTAGATAAAACTAGAGCACTCGCGTTGGTTAGTTTTTTTATGCGATCGGCCGAGCTGTTTCTTTATAATAAACAGAACCGATTTTGAAAGTTCAAAAAACTATTCGAAAGATATCATTTGGAAATTGTGCTGATTAGTTTTTGACAAAGAGCGTCCAGGTCATTTCTTTATAATTGATTGTTAAAAAAAAATGTTTCGACGATTTTAATGAAACTTTGTATGGCGGTAGAGTTCCTGGTCTTAATGAACATACTAAAATATTATAGTCTTAGTCCGAAAAGTGGTTTAATTGTAATTGTCATAAAAAATTGTACAACATTAAATTACCTCTAAATCACCTCTAAATTAATATATTGATTCCTTATTGATTAAGCAGAATAAAATAATATTCAAATATATTAAATCAATTTAACCATTCGGATTTCTAGTCATTAGTAAAAATAATCGTCACAAACAATAATTAATACAGCAGCTGTTAAAGAATATCAAAAATTATGATCGCTGTTCAAAGTATATTATTTTAATAATAATTATAATAGTATTGTTTATTAGTAAAAATAGTAGATCTCATTTAATAAGATAAATGCAAAGTTCTCAAGAATTACAGAGTGATTACACTTTTATGCTTATAAGAACATGGCTTAAAAAGAGGTCCATATTTACTGTTTTCTTTAGAATGGATCAAATTATAGGAAACTGATTATCAGAATTAATTTCTTGAAATTGTATTTGATACTCATTGTCGGTAAGTTGAAGTAGCTGCTGCTGATATCGATACTTGAGAATTGCGATAATACTTTGTTCTTAAATAATTAAAAGATTCTTTGAGAATATTGATTTTAATTGGGATTATTTAGTGTATCAATCAATAAATCTTTTTGGTCTTTTGGCAACATATAGTGTGGAAACATTTATGGATAAAAAATCAAATGCATTTGTGTTTGGACATTTTATTAACTTTGAAATTGAAAATGTTTGCATATATTTGCAAATATTTAGACTTTTTGGCACACATTAGAAAAAAATGAATAATGTATATATATACAATTTTTTGTCCACGCTTTCAAGAGCATGAATCAATCAATGAGTATGATTCAAAAAACATTCGATTCGTATTGATGTGAAGACGTTTTGATTCGTGTTTTTGCAATGGCAGAGCTAGCCGTTACGGAGATACGAAGCAAAATTGCAAAAAATAGCATTTATTGAGCGAATGGATCATCTGATCAGAATAATTCATTGAAAAAGCGTTTTGTTTATGTTGACAGGGTGAAGAAATAATTAGTTTTTGGGAAAGGTAAAAAAACTTTATACACAAGAAAATCAATTTTATTTTAAATATTGAGTCTGATTATGATTTTCTATTCTAATTCTAACTAACGTTCCAAAGCCTTATATGAAATAAATAATTTTAACTTTGCAATTCAGTTTATATAATTCTTAGAAATAAGAGATATGGTTCTTTATTTCCAATTCCGCTTGATTAACTTTTGTTTATTTACTTTTCATCTAAACTTTTATATAAACGTTGTCATCCAATTTATTATTTATAATAGTTTGTCTATAAGATATGAATGATGAAAGTTGCAGTATTTATAATAATTCATTTGGAAACATTTAAAATATCTCGAATATTTCCTTACGGTAAGGGAAGTACCAGCAATTTTCTTCAAGGCACGATGCCATACACCACTAGTTTGAATTGGAATTTCAATATCATACATAGAACAATGTATAAGTCAAGTTTATAACATTCATTAAGTAACATTAACAATCATTTTGAAGTCTTTAGATAAACTATTTTATCTCTCGAAAATATTTAGCATGTAACAACTTAATTAAGAAATTCTCTAATTTAATAAATTAATTAAATAAACAACAATTTAATTAATATAAGTACCTTATAATTTCGAAACACCTGTATCATGTAATAAGATTGATAATGAGATTTTTCTCAATCTATACAATGTTAAAATAATTTATTATAAATCTCAAGTGCGAACATACTTGTATATTCGTCTACTGAATTTCTTGATAAGAATTTCATATTTGATTCAGGAATTCTAAACTATTTTTATGAATAAATAATAACAAGGAGAATACTGTAATTTAATTATAGAGAAAACTGAGATTAAATGATTTACTATTATATTATTTATAAATATTTTTGAGATTATAAAAATATTATAAAGTAAATCAAAAGAATCCAAAATGATTGAACATGTGTTGGTTTTGAATAATATAATATTTTTTAAATAATATAATATTAACTTGTATCATGAAAGTAATCTCAATATTTTTAACATTTTATTACTTTACATATTTAAAGATTTTGAGTATATATTTGAATACTTAATATTATTTATTATAATTTCTTTACTTTTACAAGATCAGTCTGGAAGAATAGTTACACGTTTTAGTATTTGTTTCTTATCATACCAAAATATTTTAATTTTTACTTGAACTAGGAAATATTTTAAATTTCACTTAATCGTAAAATTGTATTTCGAACAAAGATATAAATTTGCAATTTTTTTTTTATTATTTTTAATTTTTCTTCTTACAATTTTATTATTTTATCACCATAAATTATTACAAAAAGATGTTATTAAATATAATAAATTTTATGACATTTACGACGCTTCTTCTAAAATAGAAAATATTAATTAGATTAATAATTTTATATTTGAGTATAACTTTCTAATTTTTAATTTAAAATTGTAGTTTCGAATACTATTTCGAAATGATTTGATCCAGAATTTTGCAAAATATTTTGAAATAGAGCACTTTATTTTTAGATTTTATAAAGGATCAGGAAATTATTATTTTAATATGACAAATTATTTACAGAATGATATATAATATAATAAATTTAACTTAATCATGACGTAGTTGATGAATTAGACAGCAATGTATCTAATATATTGTTAATAAATTCGACTTGGTTTTCTCTAGATTTTTTTCAAAATATTTCGAAGTAGGATCATTTATTTTTAACTCTCACTAATGAAAATCTTTAACAAATTTTGAAAGTGGTTAATAGTAATTTTATATACAAATTTTCATGTAAATGATGAGCTTTTCCATTTTTAATTGAGTGAATTTTATAGTTTTTAGTATTTGGGACTGATTTGATACAGATTTTGCAAAATGTTTTGAAATAGAAATTTTGCAAATGATAAGGATTATTGATATATCAATACTACAAATTATCTACAAAATTATATCATGATCTTGCAAATATTAATCAAAATACTTTTGCTATGATATGATTGCTTGTTTTTGTTAAGTGTTATTAATCAACATAAAATAATAAAAAGAATAATAATCACTGTTGATTTGTTGAAATCTTATCAGAAATTCTTTGTATAATAAACATTTCCATATATTGGTTTATTGGTGTTTTCACATATTTATTTCGGGATTGTTCACAAGAATTCGTTACAAAGCACTATTAGTTAGAATGATATAATAATAAAAATAATAATCAAATATCTTCTTAATAGAATGCGTTTTCAAATATTTATTACAAGAATTAATTGCAATGCAAGCTCTTATAATTGAAATATTAAAAACAAACTTTAAAATGATTTTATCGCCTTTATTTATCAATTATTATTGTTCGATCGCGTTATAACAATTCTAAATAATCATTAAGGCATCTTTTAATGCTCATATATTTTTCATTATAGATTAGCATAGTTTTTTATACCGATAACGACAGATTTGCACTCGAGATAATAAATATTTTTTATTGAACAATTCGATTGAGTTTTATTATGTAGGCTATATTATCGTACACAAATATTTGCTTATTAGATATACGGACAGGTTCGGTAAACTTTTCGCAAAATTATATCATAAATTATGGTAATTTTTTAGATGGTAATATTTAGTAAGTTGTCAATTGAGTTTGTTTTCGCCAGATAATCGTATTTGATAATTTATGTTTTCTCAACGTTATAAGTCATTCCGAATCCGTTGAGACTAACATTGGAAAAAAAATATGTAAGTGTGTATATGAGCCAAAATTTTACGTTTGGGGGCGTCCATTAATCACGTGAGCTAGTATTTAAGGATTTTTGGACCCCTCCTCCCCTTTGATGATATTCAAAATTAACCCCCCTCCCCCTACCAAACGTGTATTTTCACGTTACGATAAAACTTTAACATTTTTGAATTTATTTTTGGAAATGTTGGATCTTAAAAAAAAAATCAGTTAAAAAATAAATACACGTGATATCTTACTATACCCCTCCCTCCCCCACGTGATATTTTGTGATTTTTTGTCAACCCCTCCTCCCCCTAAAAACCTCACGTATGATGCACTGATATCAAGAATTCAAAATCAATTTAATAATACTCGATAAAAAATCCAATTTTTTGCAATGATTGACTCAAACGTTATTTCAAACATTAATAATAATAATGAAGCTTTTTTAAGTTTCTTTTTTTTTTTGAGTTGACATATGATTGTTCAACTAAAATTAATTAGAAGTTTTTCTAATTTAGCCCTATGTATTTTTTAGTCAATTGATTTTTAGCATAGTTTTTTGAATATAAATTATTAATATGTTTTAGAATTGTTAATACAAATGTTAAGTAAAATATGTTTTTATCAATAATATTAACATTTTATCCTTGCAAAACTTGAGATTAACATATTATAATTATTATATATTTTTTTTTGTAATCGTATTGATATTTTAGCGTCCAAATAAAAAAAAGATAAATTTAAGATAAATTTTAATAGATTAATAAATTTTAGGTTAGGAAGTGGATTACAAAATTACATGTGTCCTATATATTGCCACGCTGTTACACTAATTTAATTTAATAATAAATATAAATTGCTGTTATAAGTATTATGTAAAGTTAGGTCTTGACACAAAACTTGTTCATTAATAATTGATATCATAATTCAATCTTTCATGAAATATTCCATCAGGTACTTTCAAATTTCAAGTTTTTCTACGATTGATCGATTATTTATTATCACTCTTTTTCAACGAATTTTTATCACGATGACTCTCTATTTTTATTATTGTAAAAAATTATATATACATCTGTCACGTAATTTTTTATTTCAATTCTAATGAAGAAAATTCTTATCAAACAAGGAATTTTGGAAACAGCAAAAGTATTGAACATTAAGTTCACAAATATTTTGATTATTTATTATCAGATCTTATTCGACAAATTTTTATCATGATGACTCTTTTCTGAATATATCATATCCATACATATCGCAAAATGTTCTATTTCAGTACAAGAAGTTTTCTAAGTATAATTCATAATTATTTATCTCAATACTTACACAGAAAATAATTTTTAGTCCAAAAACAACAATTGCACAAATATTTTGTAATTAGTTCCGGATATTATAACACGCGTTCACTGATGGCATCTTTGTGTAGAAAAAACTGCCGAAAAACCCACACGCGCACTAATGTAAAATTTTTAAAAATATTTAACTACGTTATTAATTATCATATAAATAATTAATAGTATTTAATTTAAATAAGCAGTCATTTCAGTTTCAGTGTCTGAATTTAATTTTTTTATCCTAACCACGATTTTTTTTTAACAAACTTCGTTGCTCTTGCGTCCGTCCCATATGAGATTTGTTTGATGACTGCCAATCATTTGCTATACAATTCGCTCTCCGGTAGATATGAGCTCTGTATCGCACGTGGAATGACTTGAACAGGTAAATTATCTGCATTTGAAGGACCAAAGTAATAGTACAGCTAGATTATGTTTTATAATACTCACATACTTACATGGTTTGTTTCTCTGCTATAAATTAAGAAAAGGGGATCTCATCTGTTTAAATATGTATTATTTGTATGTATACATATATACATAAATACATAGATAAATTTGTTCATATTTCTTTTTTGAACGAGCCAAATTAGTGAGAGATTCTTCGAATATCGTGAATGAAAAGATTGTAGGTTTTGCCTTTATTCAGTAACTCAAAAAAACAAAACGTACATCACGTAGGTAATCAAATCTAATAACTGTAAAAAATTGAACTTTGCTCAATTATTAACTTTCCGTAGGGAAATTTATAGTAATCGCAAAAAAATCGAAAACGAAAATTTTTGCATTTCTTCACGTTTGAAGGTTTCTGAACATTTTGGCATACCTCAGAAAAAATGGATGTGCGTGTGTATGTATGTATGGATACAATTTTTCATCCACGTTTTTGGGCGCGCAGATGTACCGATTTGAATGGTTCAAAAAACTTTCGATCTATTCACAAGGAGATGTGCTGATTAGTTTTTGGCAAATCCTGCCATTTCGGAAAAACGGAACAAAGAGTGCAGAAAATAGAAATCTACTTTTTGAGAGAACGGAGCATCCGTTTTAAATGATCCAAAAAACTTCATGCTTGTGTTGAAAACGATTGCTTTTGGATTTTTTTTTTTTTTTAATTTCCAAAAAATTTTTTTTTGAATATGGAAAATAATTAAAATTTTAATTTTAATTCTACTTAAGTTCTAAAACTCACTTATATACTTCAAACAAATAATTTTTTAACTCTGCTATTCAGTTTATATAATAATTAAAATTATAAATATAGACAATGTCCTTCATTGTAAATTCGATTGATTAAATGTTTATTAACTTTTCTGTAAAGATATAAGTTATATTATTTATAATAATCTATTTGAAAACATTTTATATCCCTCGAATATTTCATTACGGTATGGGAAGTTTTAACAATTTGTCTTAAGGCACGATGCCATACACCACTAGTTTGCTTTATACCTTGAAGAACGCGAGTACTTCTATCCCTTCTTTTAATTATCAAAATAAAATAAATGAAATATTGCTAAAGACACATAGACCTTACAATACATGGACTGCTAATCGAGTGCAATATAAGTGTCTAGATATAAGGGAACTGTGACGTCATCTAGTGAACGAGCGTTGCCGACAATCGTGAAACACTCTCTATTGATTAGATTTCATATGTCGTATGTCACGTGCTTAACCTAAAAGTAAATATTCTTTGCTCGATTTGCATAAACAATAGTGGATATTACATATAATATTATACATATACATCATAATATAATATGACATTTAACCAATCCGGAGTCTTGCATGATTGTCGAGAACGCTCGTTCACTAAGTGACGTCACAGTCCCATTCTATCTTATGACACTTTTTAAAATGGAAAACATATAGAGACTAGCAGTCTTTAAATGTTTTTTAACTCCCTTCAAGTAAGTTAAAGCAATCGCAAAAAATCTCGTACTTTAGCAAAAATGAATATGTGCATGTGTTTGTGTTTGTGTAGTATATGTGTTTGAATATAATTTGTGTTATGATTTCCAGAGCACGGTTCAACCGATTTGATTGATTCAAAAAACATTTGATCGCTATTAATGGGGATACATGCTGGTTATTGGCAAAGGCAGGTCCAGCCATTTCGAAGATAAGGGGCCAAAATGCAAGAAATGGCAATTTACTTTGTGTACGAAGAAGATTCAAAATAGATTTATTTGCATTGAGGGAATGAGCATAAATTTTTGGGTAGACAGGTTTCGGAGATCTTCATATAAGAATAAAATATATGAAAAAATTCTCGGGCAATTTTCTTTCAAAAATATATACCACTCTTTCTAGAATTAACATATGTAGTTAAAAAAAAGTAATAAAAGAGATTTTTTGTGTTATCGAAACAAAGCAAATCAATTGTATTTTATTGCTGTTATAAAAAACTATAACAGAGTGATGAAATTCCATATATTTTGTCGATGTCGTTCCATTTTAGATATTATTGGTACTTGCGTGATAAAATACCAGATTAAATTAAGTTAATTTTGTTATAATTTACATATATTTTCATGAAATGACGTCAACAAAATTAATAATAAATTAAATATATTAATGTTTACATTTTTGTAGCATTATGCATGCTACAAAAATAAATGTTATAATACTCTACATTAGGTGATATCAGATGGTAATTATATAAGGAAAGATCAATATTTTCACCATTTCTTTGGGTTAAACTAGTTAATATACCATATTTAATGCATAGTTTATTATTGAAATTGTAATTTCGGGGCCTAATTTTTCGTATAATTAGTATAGAAGCT